TTTGGGGGCCTTTAAGGCAGCATGGGAATAAAGGAGAAGTCAGGATGATGGGGAATATATATTAATAGAAAAACAAAAATCATTTATTTAGCATTTTCTATATGCCAGGCACTGTATTATTCCATTTAATATTTAGAACAACATTTTCAAGTCATCATCACCATCTTCCTTTATGAGGATTCTAACTTGAAGTGTTACATGGTCCAGAGAGAGCAATACATTTAGGAAGCTGGTTTGAGAGCTCAAAGAGTTACCAGGTTAATGGCCACTAATTAATATTCTGTATTATATTTTTTATCGAGGTGATTTGTGTTCATACTATAAACTTATTTAGACCCACATTTCATGAGATTTTGAGGGGACTTGATGAATTGTAAGTTTGCTATTTTATGTCTCCCTGGGCCTTAAGAGAGAGCATTTTCATTATTTGTGGTGAAGATAATTTCCTTCTCTTAACTTCCTCTCAAGAATTTTCAACTATTAAAGTGCCTTACTGCAGTCAAGCCTGGACCCAGCATGAAACAGCACATTCTCTTATTGTTCCTGGCTGTTTCCTCCCCTGTGCACCTTAGTGTGTGGATTTACCTTCATGCTGTTACCACATGATCACAGAGTGGCTGCTTCAGCTCCACCTTCATATTTGCGTGCCAGGCAGTCACAGAAGTGGGAAAATGAAGGGATGGTTCTATCAAAAATAAAGAAAAAATGAAACATTTTTTTAATAATCTCCAGAAGCCTTGTGCACATCTCTCATTGGCCAGGAGTGTGACTAAGGCCACATATATGATCTAGGTTGGATATTGAGGGTTTAGTTTTCAAGGCACAACACCATCCTAAACAAAATCCAGATTCTCTCCTTAGAGATGAGGAGAATGAATAATGGGGGAACAACTAGCAATATCGACTCCCTGGCCTATGTTTAACAAGTGGATATTAATAAATGAATTGCATAAATATATTCTCAATATCATCTCTGAGGCAGAGCAGGATTTCTGCTTTTTGGAGAAAAGGAGTATGGGAAAAAATGGTGCAGTGATGTAGCATGTGGAATAAAACCCACTGCTATTGAAGTTTTCAGAGAAACAAAGTTCACCCCATTGGCAAGAAATTCCCCAGTTGTGTGATTTGCCCAGATATCAGATGCTTTCTGAGCTCAGGATGGATCATCTTGCCTTTTATGGGTCTCTGCAGTGTCATTATTATGGCTCATTATACTGTTTGCGACTCTCTTGGCCAACCTTGAAGATGGGTTCAAAACAGTATCTTATCCTGCACACACTTCTCCAGCACTGCCTGCGCCAGGTCAGCTAGGTTTTCCTCCAATCAGCAACTCATTGGGTGAGGCAGGTTCTAAAAGAAATCCGGAACCAGGGAAATATGGATAAGAAACCCTGGTGTGCCTGCTATGAATGCATCTGCCCCCCCGCCCCCACCCGCAAGCCTCTCACCCAGGAGGTGCTTTTGTCCTTAGTGAGCATTGCCAGTGAGCATCCCTAAGGTCTAGCAGGCTTTTAATCCTGAGCAAAGTTCTAGTGGAGTGTTTCTCAGAGTTTTTCCACTGGTGTACCCCTGATACATGAAACTAAACCTGGAAAGGGGTGTGTGTGCATGGGGTGAGGTGTGTGAGCAGTGTGTGTGTGTGTGTTTGTGTGTGTGTGTGTGAAGCATGCCACCTGGCATTATTCATTTTTATTCTGGAAATAACATACCATGTTTACCTAGTTGGGAGGGGATGCTTCTACTTCCAATGTATAGATTTCTCTAGAAGTTCCAGAGTGTGTATGAGGAACATTCTGAAACCAGTGAAGACTTGTTCTTTTCCTGGGTCTTCTGGGAAAGAGACTCTTGCTTTCTTCCCTGAGATTAAAACAGAGAGGATATCTGTTGGTTGGTTATAAGGATGAAGTCTATCTGGAGGAGAAGATGATGAAATGGGAAGAAGAAAAAAAATGTCTGGAAGATACATTTTGAGCGTCTGGACAAGCAACATTCAAGTCTAGATCCTTCAGTGGACTTCTCATTTATACTGGTACCAGTATAAATGAGAAGTCAGTGTGAGTGAACACTCTCCTTTTGTGTTTAAGCCACCTGGGCACTTCTGCCACTTGGGACAAACAAATAAAAATTTGCACTGACTCACTAACAAAAATTCTACATCTTTAAAATGTAAACCACATTTAAGTTTTCATTTAAATTACTAAACTTTCTGCCTCAAAATTTTCAAGTAAACTAAAGTTTATTTTCCAGGAGGAGATGTCATATTTATTATATATTCTCATTCCCTTGACACAATTCTGCCTGTGCCAGGTGGTACATCTCCTGCAATTTTAGAAACACAAGCTTAAGGATCTGTGCATACACGTATAATAGGGAACTTCTAAATACAAAAAGTTTTCAGGACTCAAAGACATGGAATTGTAATAGCAGCATAATAGACTTGGGCGCAAGAAGACCCACTTGGGACTTTACACTCACTCCATCCACAAATAAAGTTCCTTTGTAGAGGAATACATAAATATAAAAATTCCATAAGATCATGACTAGTGAGGTGCACAATATGAATTTCAACAACTTTATTGAAATAGCACTTTATAAACTATGGCACTGAAGGAAGCTAAGTATAATGCTAATGTCTCTGGGGAGTGTGCTTTCTTTCTTTCTCTTTCCTTTTTTATTTCTCAAAGTTCTTATTCTTTTCCTACACCACAATATCTCTTAGATTATGGACTCCCAAGATCATCTTTTTTACAAAATTAACTTAAATCCTTATTTTTCAAAGGGCTCCAAATTTAGGTGGGTATAAGTAATAGTACAGGTGCTTGATTCTGTGAAGACCCTGCATTACTATCTATTGCTAAGTGTGTGTAGTCTGAGAGAGGTAGGAGATGCTCAATATATCAAATCTCCTATCAGATTTCTTTCAAGTAAACTTGTTAAGCAGATGCCAACTCATCATTTACTAGAGAGTAGAATAAGTTTGATTCAAAGGGGTTATTTCAACATCTGCACGAGTCCAGAAATCTGGAAGAAATGAGAAAAATTCAAGTGAGTAGCCTGATGTCTTGTTCACCTGTTAGCTAATACTTCAGTAATTATAGGCATATGGATTTTTGTCTTTATTAATTCAATCATAAGGCTGCAGTAAACTCTAGATATTATGTGGTCTCTTCTCTGGCCAATAGTCTAAACAAACTCAGAGGAAGGGCTTCAATATTTCCACCATTGTTTCCAGATTTTATGTGCAAGAGCTTTCTTCACACATGAAACTCTAGAATGCTATACAACAGCCATAAAATATAATAAATAATTCAATATCTCACCTGCAAACCTTCTGAAATAGCCAAAATTTTACAAGAAAGGAAAATATCACTCTTGATCTTCTGCTGTCATTCATCTCACCTAAAGGGTGTTGACTCCAAAATTTGCTGTTTTTCTTTCTTTCTTCTTTTTTTTCCCCTTCCTTGGTTGAGCCTTACTTGGGTATTTTAATTTTTTTTCAAGCAAACTAAAGGAAATTAAGATAACTTTATTACTAAAAGGATAAATAGATAAGAGAGGATATTTAGAATGGTCTATTAATTTTTGAATGATAAGATTTCTTTCTGCATAGAATAAGAGCAACTGAAAAAAGATATTAAAAATTCTGAATTTCTGTTCTTTGTTTTCTCGAATGTCCTAACATTAAACATGGTGACTTTAATCCTTAATAGATGATAATTATTTGGGGGCTCCTCAATCTTGGTATCCACTTAAATACTCCTCAGAAATTATTGAATGTGCTTTCCAGAAACTTATATACTAAAATAATTCCAAAATACTAGTGCTTTAAGGATATGCAAACAAAATGGAATATTTATTGTACACTAATGAAAATTCTGTAATAGCAGAATTGGGCTATAGCAATTAGAGAACATCATTTTTTAAAAAATGGCAGTGCTTTAATTTATAATAGCTAAGATTTGGAAACAGCCTAAGTGCCCATCAGCAGATTAGTGGATTAAAAACTGTCATACATCTATACAACTGTGGTACATCTACACAATGGAATACTATGCTGCTATAAAAAAAGAAGGAACTCCTACCATTTGCAACAGCATGGATGGACCTGGAGAGCATTATGCTAAGCAAAATAAGCCTGTCAGAGAAAGATAAATATCACATGATCTCACTCAATTGTGCAAGATAATGAACAACATAAACTGATGAATAAAAATAGATCCAGAGACATAGCAGCATTGAACAGACCATCAAACCTCAGAGGAAAGGCAGGGGAGTAGAGGGGTAAGGGAAGGTTAGGACTTGTATGCTTGCATATAAGCATAACCCATGGACACAGATAGTAGGGGGTGAGGGCATGTGCTGGGGGATGGGAACTGCCGGGGAGAGGTCAATGGGGGGAGGGGAGGATACTTTAAACAATAAAGAATTTAAAAAATAATATTGAAAATTGCAGTGCTTAATTACAGGCCTACAAAATTCAATTTGATCATCTTTGCCCTCTTAAATTTTCCAGTGAGAAGCAGTGAGGGGGTTGGAAGCCCAGGCTAACATGTTCTAGGTAATTTATATATATATAAGGTTACTCATATTTATTATTATCAAAGCAAATGAGGGAACACTGTGCATTAATCCCAATAATTCTAGTGATTCAAGAACCATAAGACAAAATAGGGAAAGGAGATACTTATGACAAAGCCTTGCTAGCTTTTCTGAAAATTGAAAAAAAAAAAAAAAAAAAAGAAGACAGATCTGAACACTGACCAATGTGATCTGTGATTATACTGGCTGGTCCCATGCTCACCCCTGTCCCAGCCAACAGTGCAGAAGGCAGCCTGGTAATGCAGGAAGAAAATAAGACCGAAACTTTCAGACACTTTTTGACCTGCTCCTCTGCTTGAAAATATGTTATATCCCAACTGTTCTCTTTACTTTTTAACCACATTATTTCTCTTCTTTTGTTTTGGGTAAACTACACATTTTCATTTATCATTTGGTTACAGGTCAAAATAGTTCAAAAGGCTTATGAAGAATTTCACCCACCCACCAGGTTTACTGTTACTCCCCAGAGGTAATCTTTTTCTATGTGTCTACTATCCGAGTTATTGGTTGTAGGTCTCTAATCTCAAATAATATTGTTATACTCTTGATTAAAAAAAATTTGATTTCTTGATTTTTCAATCCTATGCTGTCCAAGGATACCAGAATATGCAAGATAAAGACTTAACTCACATAAACTATCTACACAGTAAGTGAGGTTGACAGGTAATTTACATTTCTCATACTGATATTAAGGTTAACTAAACTCATTAGTGGGTTGGGAAGCATCCCCCGGTTTTTTATTTTCAGGGAGAGCAAACATAATATAAAAGATGTTCACCTTTAAACTTTGGTGGAATTAATCTATAAAGTTGTCTGTGCTTTTTTGCATGAAGATTTTTAAACATCTATTTCAACTTCTTTTCTGGTTTTCTGATTCTTCCTAAATCAGTTGTACATTATATGTCTAGGACTCAGTTCAAACATTTCATCAAAAATTTCAAATTTACTGGCAAACAAAAGCTCATAATTTTCTCATGCATTAGTATCTTTGCAATTCCTGTTGTATCTAACCTACTTCAACCTTAATTTACTTCATTTGTTTTCTTGTTTTCCCTTGAAACACCTTGCTAAAAGTTTTTCTACTTTAAAAAAAAAATATATATTCTACTGATTCTTTACAGAGAGGAAGGGAGAGAGACAGAGAGCCAGAAACATCGATGAGAGAGAAACATCGATCAGCCGCCCCCCGAGCATCCCCCACCAGGGATGTGTCCGCAACCCAGGAACATGCCCCCGACCGGAATCGAACCTGGGACCCTTCAGTCCGAAGGTCGACGCTCCATCCACTGAGCCAAACCGGCCTCGGCTCTACTTTTTTATTACTCTTTTTAAAAACATGTTGTGGTTGATCTTTTCTATTGAATCTTTGTTTTCTTCTATTAATTGATTGATACATTTAACTTTACTTTTTTCTTTTTAATTTATATTTATTGTTATACTTTAAAACTTCTAAAATTGTATGCTTATTAGTTTTGATCTTTTTCTCTTTTGTAATATGAGAACTTTAAAACTCTAGACTTTTCTATAGATACTGTTCTTATTATATAAGTTATTATCTTTCAGCTGTAAAATCTAATTTCAGTTTAATTAATTTTATATATTTCTATCATTCTTTCTTCTGAGACCCATCAGTTATTTAATAGTGATTTTTAAAAATCTCTAAATGTATGACATTTTAAATTTTTTATCTTTTTTATTGACTTAATAGAATTGTGATCAGAATATATGATTAGAATGCTACCAATTCTTTGAATTTTTCAATTTTTGTAAATGTGTCATGTTTCTTTGAGAAAATTTGAATTTTCTGCTTGTTGAGTGTAGTTAGATCAAGATGGTTAATGATGTCGGCATTTCCCACTACTCCAGGAAAACCAGGGTTATTAGACATCCTACATGAAGGGAAAATAGGGTGAATGGAGGTAGAAGGTGGCTCACAGCAAAAGACCAATCAAGTATTTTTGTTGTTGTTTGTTTTTTAAAGTTTTATTTTTATTGATTTCAGAGAGGAAGGAGAGAGGAGAGAGACAGAAACATCAATAATGAGAGAGAATCATTGATCAACTGCCTCCTGCACACCCCACACTGGGGATCGAGCCCACAACCAGGGCATATGCCCCGCTGGGGAATCGAACCGTGACCTCCTGGTTCATAGGCTGATGGTCAACCACTAAGCAACATCGGCTGGGCTGTTGTTGTTATTGTTGTTTTAAATACAGTAAAATAGAGTTTCTAGTATTTTATTTTAAAAAATAAAATAGGCTTCAGGTTGAGTTATTTGCTTTCAGATAAGACTACAAATATGTACAGAACAAATGTAAGTTATAATGCAAGACATAGACTCTAATAATATAGCAATAATAATTTCCTAT